TTCTGGACTTTGACTTTTCTTCGTAGTTTTCTGCTTAGGGATTCATATAAAAAGTTGTTATTATTATTTTAATTGTCAAGCATTTTCAGATATGTTGTACTAGGAGGTTGCTAATGAATATACTAGAAAACAAGTTACCAGAAAAGTAAGGCTAATAACATAAAATTCTTAAGAAATATGATAAAAGCCCTGCACTATCCTATTCATTTACTAAACATTGCAAAAATATCAATAGCCTAAGAAAACATAATATGTCTACACATATTGAGTTCATTTTAACTTTTACATAAAGTTTAGAATTAACTGAAATCTTAATAGTTATTAAGAAACTGATTTTATGTGTTAAATATGTAGTTTTTGTATTATATTTTGTATAAGAAATTGTTATTGAAATACCTACATAATCTATGTCTCAGAATAGCTAGAAACAAACAGACAAATGAATAAATGTGATGGGTTTAAATAAAATATTTGGGAGGTTGCAGATAATTGAATTTTCTTTGAGAAAGGTTGAAAAAACTTAGTGAGATTTGAGAAGACAAATAAAAGTTACTGCAACAATAACAACACTATCTGACTGTGGATAAAGAAAAAAATGCCTCTAATCTCTCTTCTACCAGTAGCGGAGGGGTGGTAAATGAAGAAAGGCCTGGAAAAGAAAGAATGAACTCTGAAAGAGTATAATGCATCTGGATGGTCCCTAAGGAGGTTTAAGAATCTTCCTTTTTTCAATGATGTGTCTGTATTGCCTCTGATAGTAACTCACAGTTGCCTTTTAATAAAAGTTTATATTAAATTCTCTACTGAGCACTTCTTAAATGACAAAAGCAAATGGCAGCATATACTCTCTAGACAAGTGATGTCTTTATTTGTGGAAAAAAGTAATTTTTGTAATAATGGCTGTGTAACCACTCTTCACCAAGCTAAAAGCAGAAGTTTTACACGTGTGCCTCATCTTATTGCCTAGTAGCTGCCTAGTTTATTTTATGGTAGCAGCTCTTGGGTGTTCATCAAATCTGAAGTTCTCAGTGCCCCTAGTACCGACAGTAGCCCCTATTAGGTACTTAAATATATTTGTTGCAAGATTGGATAACTGAAGTTGTCTTTGGCTTAGACCTGAGAAACGACAGACAAATATGAAAAATAAAAACATCACTATGTTCAATTCTTCAAAGAGAAGTGAGTAAATAAATTATAAGACCACTAAAATGTATTCCTATTATACAAAACCTAGCAGTTATTTAAAATTGCTCTTCCATTCTACATATAGTATTTCTTAAGCATAAGAAAACTCGGTAATATCCTTTGAAAATTATTCACAAATGCTTAATATTAAATGTATATAGAACACTTTCCTTCTGTGTAAATATAATGTTTAAATAATAAAGTCAAATATTATGTTATATATGAAAAACACTATACGCTTTTGCTTTTTTGGGTCCGCACTTTAAAACATACTGGAAAAACACTTAGAAGGTCATTGCATTAAATGTTTTCTTTTTTTTTTTTTTTTTGCCACTGAATTGCTCACTTTATTTTTTTTCTTTTATTGATAGATAATATTTGTACATATTTATGGGTAAATGTGAATACATTTTACCTGCATAGAATGTGTAATGACCAAGTCAGGGTATTTGGGGTGCCTATCACTTTGAATGTTCATTATTATTATTATTATTGTTATTATTATTATACTTTAAGTTCTAGGGTACTTGTGCATAATGTGCAGGTTTGTTACATATGTATACTTGTGCCATGTTGGTGTGCTGCACCCATCAACTCATCAGC